CATGGTTTAGTGGTGGGTTTGGCAGTGTTAGGTTGATGGTTGGACTCTATGATCTTAAAGGTCCCTTCCAACCTATGATTCTATACAATCACAGATTGACATATATCATGTGAGAACTAGGCAAGGTTAATCAACAAATAATTCTAATTGTTTTTTGAGTGAAATTTTGAGATTCTCACTAATTTTAACTAAGTCTTATTGTACTCTTTGAGGTCAGCAGAAATAAGGGCTAGCTAGAAATTCAGTCTGCTACATTGTCTCACACAGTACTTTTTTCTCACTGAGTCTGGTAGGAGAGCTCATTCTGAGTTGTACTTATCCATACTGAAGTATGGAAAAACTGAGAAACTCTTGTTAGAATGCAGAAAATGTATGATATTTTGGATGCTGTGCTGTGTCACAAAAAAATTGCCAGTATAAAAAGTTCTCTATATTGTCTATATTCTCAAATAGATAGAAATTGCCACTTAACCAGAGCAAAGAAACATAGGCAATTGGACCAAATATGTGTGTGTTTCAGTACAAATACTAAAAGTCAGGGAAAAAATGTTGAAACTAAAGTTACTGGTTATAGATGATAATGTTGATGTAATAGGTACGTTAGAAACTTAGTGGAGCAAAAATAATCAATGTGACAGTCTAATACTGGTGACAAATTACATGGAAAAGACAGATAAAGTCATGTCTGTCAAAGAGCAGATTTTTTTTTCTTGAAATAAACAGAGTCAAACCTCATAGATGAACTATGTCACAAAAGCAGAGTCCCTACAGACTGAAATTTTGAGATTAAATAGGGATAGTAGAACTGTGGCACCACAGGACTGCAGTCCAGTATTGGGACTGTAATACTGACTGTCCCACCTAAATAGTGACGTTGCCTGTGACCACCTAAACAAGATCTAATGGGGCAAGAAGATGGGACATGCAATAACAGTGGGAGACAATTTACAAAATTGAGATTGTGTAAATGGCCCGAGGGGGGTGATTCTGAGTAAAAATTTTTTTGATGATGATGATTGCTTATACAGAGGCTATTTGTTTATCTTGGGGCGGAGGGGGGGTGGATGGGTGGGGAGGAGAAAGTAATTCTAAGTAATTCAAAATAATTCTAGGACCTGGTCTTAGACAGCGACAGAAAGACCTGGTTCAAAATACAGCTAGAACTTCTGTGTGACAGCAACTAACGTACTGAGAAACAGTATTCTTGAAACAGCAAAAAGAGGGGGAAAATCTCCCATGGCAATGTTTAACTTCAAAGAGGAAACTACATAAAAATGTGAAAACTGTTTAAAAAGAAAGAGAGCCAAAATTTAAAATGTTTATGGGAGTCATGAAGATTGTTTAAAAATGGGAGCTCACTGCAAGCTGACTTCCAGAAAAGGCCTTTAAAAGACCAAAAAAAGGTTTGCATAGCTAAACAGCAGGGTGAAGGACTAAGAGGATGTCTCTTATTAAAAGGACTTCTTTTATTAGAAGTAAAAGGGCTTTCTTCAAGTTGAAGCTGTGCCTAAATGAGGAAAACAAAGCATAAACAAGTTAAATATATAAACAAAATAAGGCAGGCTAAAAGAGATTTTGAAGAACAGCTTGGCAAAAACTACTAGTAAAGCCATTTTCAAGCTGTCTTTAAGTAGTTACAATCCTGACAGAAAAACTACCAGACTAGTAAATGATCATAGTAGGGAAGGTATTTAGGGACATGCCCATTCTGGCATATTTCTCCATCAAGAATATATCAGAAGATTTTTCACCAAGAAATTACATTACAAGAATAGATTTCAGAAGAAACTGGCAACAGTGAACAGTGAAAAACTACCAGGAATAGATGGCATCCATGCAAGTTAAAAGAACTAAAGTACAAAACTGTCAAGCCAGTAATGATGGTGTAATGCTTAAAAGTTTCCTGGTCTGAAAAAAAAGAAGGTGATAAATATGACACCTAATCTGAGAAATTGGTAGGAGCTGCAATACTCCCTAGGCCCCCTTCTAAGTCATTGGATTTATGGATAAGTATGCTAAAAAGGGGAGGAATCAGCATAGCTTTCATAGAGGAACCCAGAATCTCTCAAATTTATTTGAAAAAGTAACTGAACATATGGACAAGGGTGATCCATTTGATAGAAGCTTGTTGGTCTTCCAAAACTCATTTGAGCATGTCCATCACCAAAGACTCTTGAAGAGACTTAAGTATCATAGAGTGAGACATACAGGCCTCTCAGTAATAACTAATTAAAAAATATGAAAGAAATAGTAAGAATATATTGTCTTTTGCAATGGAGGGAACTCATTGTGCAAGATCCAATAACTCTGTAAGAGCCTCCTCTGCCCCTCTCTTTGAAGAGGTGTAGAGGGGAGCATCTGTTGGTCCCATCTGGGGTCCCCCAGGTCCCCAGTAGCCGATTTGACCTAAACCACGACACTTATGTATGCAGACATGACTTGGAGTTACAATTGCTAGTTCTAAAAAAAAACCAAACAAACCCCACTGTGTTCAGCAGAGCACAAAAAAGCAGGCAATTTTTGAAAACTTTTAAAAATTGGATAGAGAACAAAACAGTAAACATCACCATTCTACCACAGAAACCTATCATACTCCCAGATCTAGACCGCTGTTTGCACTTTCAGCCTCTTCTCAAGAAACAGACCTCTCGTAGGATAATCAGAAGTGTGGGAAGGCTTGTCTGGAATAGCTTCATAAAGGTCACAACTACATGAAGTTGGGCTCTTCAGTCTGGGAACGTGAGGATGGAGGGAAGGATTTGTAACAGCATGTGCAGCACAGAGAAAGTAAACAAGGAACAACACTCCCTGTTTACCAAATTGCTCACCAAATGCATGGTGCACCTGCCATTGGTGGCAGGTTCAAAACAAGCAAGAGGAAGGGATTTTTTTGGACGATGCATAGCTGAAATGTGAAGTTCACTCTCACAGGGTGTTTTGGGTGCTGGTAGGTTACAAGGAATCAAAATGTTATTTAACAAAATTCCTGGAAATGTAATGCAGTTAGGGCTATTAAAAATTGTGACCTCAGCTTAGGAAGCCCCCAGAGCTGCTGCTTCTTAGAAGCTGGGGTAGCACCCTGAGGGAGCATCAGTACATGCTTGCCTCTCGTCCTCTCACCTCTGCAACTGCACTTGTCCACTCTGAAAGATAAACTGCAGGGTGAGGTGAATCTCCCATCTCACCCCCTGCAGCCATTCTGTTTGCTTTGATGAAATATGACTTACCCCACAGTTCTTATTGCAACTGTTCCTGTTTTTTCAGACCCAACCTTTATTTTATTTGTAGCTCTGTATTAAAAAAAAAATCCCAACAGAAAAACCCAAACAAGAGCTTTGTTTATTAGCATTATTCAGTCATGGGGCTCTGATTGATGAGTGGGGACAAGATGCAAGGAGGAAGCCTGGAAATTCATCCCTCAGCCCCTGCCCTGCCATGTGGATGTCTGCTTTGCTTGTGTGTCATGGCCCAAGCCACCTCAGTTTGTATGGTGGGGGTGACAACTGCCTGTGCACCATCAGAGCTTGTACAGCAGTCATAGAATCACAGACTAGTCTAGGTTGGAAGGGACCTTCAAGATCATCTAGTTCCAATGCCCTGCCATGGGCAGGGACACCTCCCACCAGACCAGGTTGCTCCAAGCCCCATCCAGCCTGGCCTTGGACCCCTCCAGGGATGGGGCAGCCACAACTTCTCTGGGCAACCTGGGACAGTTCCTCACCGCCCTCAGAGTAAAGTCCTCATGTTTGTCCACACAAACCTCATTTTTACTGTTGTTATTTGAGGGTTCCTTTTAGAAGGATGCCTACATCTTTCTTTTGTATCATCCCTGCCTCTTTTATATCTCCTCTTTTGCTTACTACTGAATGCTTGCTGGGTTATTGCTGTGTTTCTTCCATTCCTCCTCGCCCCAATATGTGACCTCTGAAGTAGATGGTCCTGGGAAAAGACTTTATCCATGCTTTCTAGCTGTTTTATTTTTGTTTAAAGCAGATTATAACTGGCCTTGAGGGACAAGACTTGGTTTTACTAATTGTTTGATTTTAAGCATTTTGCTACCAAACTGGCTTATTTTGGTTTGAAGGATCTCTTTATTCCTATTTTTAAAATAGTGCGACGTGTTTGGAATATACATTGTAAACATGTAATTCTTAGGTGCTGGCATCATTCTGCTTCTGGTGTGATTTCAGTGGAATTATTTCTGCAGAATATCGAGAATACGTGGCTACATCCCATCTCTGAGAGCATTTTAGGAGGTTTCTGTCAATCTAATCTGGAATTTCTGCATTATTAAAAATCAAATTGATTTTGCTGTTCCTCTCATTCTTTTTTCTTTGTATTTGTTGCACCCAACTCTGATTTTCAGGAAACTGGTGCAAAATTACATTTATTTCAATGCAAAAATGATAGGATCTTCTTTAACTTTGAGGTTGGTTTTTTTTTTTTTCCCTTTTCCATTTTCTCAGAGCAACAATCAAGTCAGCTTCTGTACTTCAAACACAAGACTAGTCCCTTGTGATTTTAATGGGGCCATATCTCTCCAACTGTTATCAGCCCCAAATCCTGAAAATAACTGGGTGTATAAAAGAAATTGTAAGTCTTGAGTGGAGAGTTGATGAGAGAATGTAGAGAAGATTAGCCAATGTGTTGAAGATCTTTTGCAGCAGCGTGCAGGCTGCATAAATCTGTGCTGCTGCTTGCATGAAAAGCACGTGCTGTTGTATGATTCCAACATTATAAAACCAGAAGAGACCCTTTTGATAATTTACTACAAGTTATATGTTATCAACCATCAGCATTCCTTGGTTGAACTTTGAACTAGGTTTTTTTAGGAAAAAGAACTAATTTTAGTTTTAAAATTGTTGTTTGACACCTGTCAAACCCATGGTAGCAAATTTTTAACTGGTTTAGGCAGTTTTTATCCCATTTAATATCTGCCTTGTTGATTTTTTTTTATTGTTCCAGTTTTTCAGCCAGAAATGCCATATAACATTAGATAAATGCCCATGACACATGCCGTACACAAAATATTAATGGTGACCACACCACGAGCCGGTGATCTGAGAGTTAATGACATGTTATGGACTCGCAAAGAGAAGACACGCATTTTGTGCCCGATGCGGCGGAGCAGTGGGTGTGAAGTCCTTGATTCCCATTGAAAAGTGGCTGAAGGCACACACTTGTGCTGTGACCACTGCTGACAGCCCTAATAGAAGTGTAGGGACAAAGACTGAAACATTTTTTTGAACTATCAACAAAGACTTGCCTGGGAGCCCGAGTGAGGCCTGCTGAAGAAAGGTGCTCTACCACTATCACCTCCTGTTTTTTATTTTTTATTTTAAGTTTAGCTCCCTATGTATCACTGGTAATTCTGGAATGGTTTGAACAGACAACACGGAGCTAGAGTTTAGCTAAAAGCCGGGCCCTGCCTTGCTATCGCAGGGCTTTGGTAAGGTGAGATAACAAGAAATTGCTCAAGTGAGAAATTGTCTTTGGAAGACAATTGTCTTTGGAAGACTCACCTGCTGTAGGTGGTCCTGCTCTGGCGGGGGGGTTGGACTGGATGATGTCCATAGGTCCCTTCCAACCCTGACCATTCTGTGATTCTGTGAAGTCTCTGCTAACAGATTTTTGGATACAGAGGTACCACAAGAGGGGGGGAAATGAAGATTAAGGTAGATCTGGAAATAGATCATGATACAATGATATTTTCTCATATAGTTATACTCTTCTGCTAGACATTTCACATGGTACTGAAAAGAACTTACTTTGTAATGGACAAAATGTGGATGTTGAAATCTCACTGTGGAAGGCTTTGTTGTAGCCTAATTATTTCTTCTTTTTTTTTTTTTCCTCTGTCATTTCCTTGTATAGGTGGAAAATGTTCGGTTACTTGATCGTTTATCTTCAAGAAAAGCTACACTGGGAACTTTGTATTTAACAGCTACCCATGTCATATTTGTGGAGAATGGTTCTGAAACTCGTAAAGAAACCTGGGTATGAATTTTTGGGTTTTTTTTTCAGTTAGCTGTAAGTGTATGGCACTTTATTGATGGCAATTTGAAAATAATTTACAAAACCGTTTAAACATAGTAAATTAGTGCATATGGATGCTCTTATAGCTTCAGAGTGTGTGAAATTCCAGCCTGGTAATTTCTGGAAATTGTCAATGGATTCTGGATATTGCAACACAGTAAGAGGAGTAGAAGGACCTTCACCATACGAATACCAGATACGATTCACTGAGGAACTGCCTCTGTAAACTACGGTGTTTTTCCTATCGTCTAGAAAGAATTGAGGAAAAATGCTTCAAATATGAATTACTACCTTGACTCAGTCAGCTCTCGCTTCTTTCTCTGAATGCTTGTGCTGGATCAGTGATTTTGGGTTTTTAGTTTTTTAAATTTTTTGCATAATGTAGTATTTTGGGTTATCTGTTTTGATGGATCTGTCTCGGAGCACGTCTGTTTCAGATGTTGTGCATGCGTGTGTATATATCGATACAGATATAGCTCTGGTGTTGTACGATGTGAGATTCTTTTATGTAGCTTAATTATGAATCCTTTGTTTCTGTACTAATTATTAACTCCGTCCTCTTTTGCTCCCACTATTCCCCTCCTGATTCTTATTGTAATGTTTCATCTCATCTGATGCAGTATTGAAGGTTCTATCAGGACTACCATTCTGCCAATGAGGAGCCCCAACACTTTAGCCTTATCTAACTGGTGCTGGTTCATCTTTTAACTGTACAGACAGACAGACAAAAAGAGCTTTTTTTTGGGACAACTGTTAGCTTACACCAAAGCAAACAAACAAAAAGTTTTAGATAGCATGACCAGGGTAATGTTTGAGCAGCTGAAACACTCCAAGAGCTGCTTGGTCTGTAGGTGATGTACGAGGTGCTGCTTGAGCCTGGAGCTGGAGATAGGAATGGGAAGAGGAATGTGGGCATTTTGTGAAACAGTAGTGGAAGATACTCTGCCTGCCCTGGCACACCATTATAAATAATTATTTTTCTTCCTAAACGTTTGAATCACTTGGCATAACCATTTTAAATTCCCCCACAGGTTCTTCACAGCCAGATTTCCTCTATTGAGAAGCAGGCCACCACTGCCACTGGTTGCCCGTTGCTGATCCGCTGCAAGAACTTCCAGGTCATCCAGCTGGTCATCCCTCAGGAACGAGACTGCCATGACGTTTACATATCTCTGATACGTCTTGCACGACCAGGTATGAGAAGGAAACTGGCACAAAAGTCCATCCTCATGCTGAAGAGGGAGAATATAGTGGAAGAAGCGCAGCTGGACATCTTTGCACTTTGCAGGTTAAGAAAAAAGGCTTCATTAGAGATGTGTGTTATGAGAGAAAAGGTCTCTGAGTAGACAAGCGTGTTAAAATAATCACTTATGGAGCAATGAAGAAAGCGCATCATAACATGTAGTTAATAACAAAGCATGTCATGAACTTTTGTTGAAAATTATACTGTAGGCTATCAGTGTCCATAAAGTATATACTCTAATGATATTTTATGTGTAACTGTTGCTTACTGGCTGCCGTGTATAAGTGTGACTTTAGGAAAATACTGTCAAGTCTCTAAATGCAGAGAATTTTCATGTTCCTGCTGTGGCAAAAAACTTATGATATATTTAGTGGCCATGTCAAGGTCTGAATATTCCCTTTCTGTGCGCTGCATAAATTTCCTAAAATCAGTGAAAGCTTTTGCATCGGGCAGTTGATTTATTCCCCTGGACTGCCTGTGCCTGTTATTACCTCAGTTTTGAATGTGCCCTTTTTGAATTTCTGAATTCAGATGAAGTTCCTTTTGAAACCTTTCCTCTTTTCAATGACAATCCATATGTTGCAGCAAAGTCCAACATCTGATCCTCTGCGTTATAGCTGCTCTCCTAAGGACCAGCTGAAAAGGCTTCTGAATTGTTTGTTTGAAATGATAGCTGTAGAAATACAGCACCAACCTCCCTCCTTTGCTATTATTTTAATGGTATGCAAAGAAAATGTTCACCACAGTCTGTACAAAATTAACAACCTTGGCTTTAATTTGGATCTTGATAGGAGAACACTGATTTTATCTACTGTGTAGATGGGGGGAAAATTGCACCGTCAGCCAGCACAGCTACTGAACTTTATAAAGCACCTTCTATAATTAGGATAGTAGTAGTAATATGCAACTGCAGCAGATGTAACTCGATGTGCTAGGTGATGCAAGATGAAAGGCATCAGAGAAATGTAAAAACAATGAGACAAATTCAGTCAGTGGTTCTGCTGATGTAAATCTGGATTAATTCCACGGGCCTCGGCTGCAAGTCTGTGCTTGTGCATGCTGGAAGGAACGTGATTCTCTAATGCTCTTGCCCTGGAGCCAGGAGGAGGTGTGCCTACTGCTACGCACCAGAACAGGACGCTTCAGTACAGACATACCTAATGATGAAGAGAGGAATAGCCATGGACCCCGAATACAGGTTCAGTGGCAGGCTGCAGTGGATAAGAAGGTTCGAATGAAGAAGATGCAATAAGAGCAGCATAGAATTAGCTCTTTGCATAGTTCAGCTGCACAGTAGTTTTCCTTCTCCAGCAAAATACCTGATCTTCATGTGAGGCAGGATAAAATCTTGCTCACTCAAAATTAGAAGGCTCCAATTGAAACTTGAGCTGTATGTACCCTGACAGTGCTCTGCTGTGTCCTTTTGTCTGGGCACAAAGCTGCACTTCCTTAAGGTAATACAGTTACTCAGCATTATAAGACACCCTTTACTCCATGAGGAGAAAACTTGACTCATTCAGGCTCTATTTTTCGTTCTCTGCCTGTTCTTTTAATTCATCCCACTATAGCTGAATCTGAGTGAAGCTCATCTTGTGTACTGGCTTAATATATTCTGTGTTATCCGATGTCCTAGATACACTAAAGGACCAAATTTGTGTTTGATTTTATTCTTGCCAGCTGTTAATAGCATTTTAATAAGGTCAAGCTGTCAGCTGAATTTGGCCTTTTTGCTTAATTAAGCCATTTTGTGAAACAAGCTGACCATAACAGTTATTACAGGTGTAATAGCAGGACTGCAGACACTTATGGCAAAATAATGGTGAAAGATTAGGGAAGGTTCTATATGTGCTGGAGAAGAGCTGATGACTGAGCTCTAAGGCACCAACTATTAATACGTCAACATTTTTGTTGCCACTTATAGACACCATTGTGTAATGATACTTGTAACATTGAGTCAGACTTCTGTCATAAATAATTTGGATATATTTTAATAGGTGGATTTTTAAAGGCTTCCCATGTGCCTGTGAATTGCAGGTCCGGTTCTAAAGAAAATCCAGACGCTTCTGACAACCAAGCAGCAAAAACAAGATCTCGAATTGCTACCAAAAGCACTTAAAATGAGCTCAGATTGGGTTTATGGATTATGCTAAAGCTTTATGTTAGAACATGAGAAATAAACCAGATTGTCTTTCTATAGCTGTGCCATGACAGAAGTTTGAAATCAGAGAATAAAGAAAGAGTTTGAACTGTCAGATGGTGTGCAAAACATTCTTTTCTTTCTCCTTACTCACAAATTTGTTGACTTTCAGTACTTTCCTGACAGAGGAAAGACAACTATGTCTTTCCTTAAGTGCACACTTTTTTTTGTGTATGTACCATCAGTTTAATTGAAATTAAACAAGCAAAATATAACTTAAATTACACCTTTAAAAGACATAAAGTAAAAGAAAAATACTTTCTATAGAAAGAGGTAGAAGCTTTATTATTATTCACATTGTGGTTAGCTTTGTTGTTATTATTTTTATATCTGTAAGTTCCTTACTGTAGTATTCTAAGACACTGCTTATTACGTATATGTTATTAGAAAAAGTGTAGCACTTAAATTTGCTCATCTTGTTAAAATTATAGTGTGAAGCATGTGTATCATTGGGAAACTATGAAATCAGAGTTTATGATTTATTTTACTTTGATTCTAAAGTTAAAAACCTGTTGGTCAGAAAGTTTTAGAGCAGCAGACTGATACATGCCCTTGTGACATAACAATATCCTAAGTATCAATAAGAGTGTTCATTTCAAGCTATACGCTGAATAGTTATTCATATCAGTGACAGTTGGCATTTAATGACGAGGGTGTCTGGCTGCCATTGGTCACTAAGGTTAAGTCACTCATTAGCACGAATAAGGATATGCTCCTAAAAAAAATTAAAAAGTCCAGCACCAGCAAGTTTATTACACGGTCCTTGACCGAGGGTGACAGGTGGCATAGCTACTTAAACGAGTTCATGGGCATGATGAAATGATTGATGTAACACATGCTATTTTTATGCTATTACAACATCTGTATCATGAATGCCTCTGCTAGTAATTCAAGGACAGAATTTTGCAGTCCATAAAACTAAGATTTCATTGAATCTATTGAAAATTTCCCTATTTAGGGACAAAGACTTCCAAGTTAGTTCATTTTTGGAAGATTGTGCTGCATAATCCATTGTTCAGATCTTTTGTCTTTGCCACAGGACAGATGTTACGTCCATAAAGGGTTTTCTAAGCTACCTCTGGCCAGCAAATACTTTTGCAGAACAAGTGCTTATTCTGGCACTGACTTCAGTTTTCTTTGGACGAAAGCATATTATAAATGACATTTGTCTTCATGCTGGGGAAGGATTTTACAGCTCAGTAGAGAAGAGGTCTAGCAGAACAGTATGTTTTAAGTAGCATTACTAATGAGGCATACATGTTGCAACACATACAAGTAACAAAACAGCACCGTACTTTCAAAGTATACTTGAAAATAGTTATAAGCCAGGATAGGGGCTTTTCTATATTTTAAAAGAGAAATTACACAAAGGACAATACCAAATTTTGTTTTTAAAGTATGATTTCAGGATGAGATATCTGAGGTGTTTTACTGGTTTGGTTTGTTTGTTTGCTTGGTGTTTTTCAGTGAAATACGAAGAGCTGTATTGTTTCTCATTCAATCCAAAATTGGATAAAGAAGAACGAGAACAAGGCTGGAAGCTCGTGGACCTCAATGAAGAATATAATCGAATGGGTGTTCCGAACAACTATTGGCAGATTAGCGATGTAAACAGAGACTATGGAGTGAGTTGTTGTGATTTTTCTGTTGCACAGCCTGTAAAGTGAATCAGCCGTCTGACCGTGGACTGCTGAAGTGCTTAGATGCAGGATCCCTTTGTGCTCAGTGCTGTAAATACATGTAGTAAGGTGCAGTTCTTCCACGCTTTCACATAAAAAAGCACATAGAAAGGAGGTGTCTTTGTTTAATACATGTGGAAATTAAGCACAGAAAGTTGGTACACAGTCAGTTTTAAAGGTTAGTGCTTGGCTGCCTGGGGAGAAGTTTAAATCATACTTAAAGTTATGTGTCTGAATGAGCATTTTTCTCACATGTAGGGTTATATAAAATTACTACACAGTCATTTTAAGAAAAAAAAAATTACTTGAAATAGTGAACTTGGCAATCTTTTTTCCTCATTGACCATCTTCGCAATCCTCTGTGATTGACTCTTAGTGCTTTTCACAGTCATCTGACAGGTCATATCTCTTCCTAGCTGCTTGCTGTCCTGCCTAGTTTAGTCCTGCACGACTGAAGTCCCTAGAATGTTAATTAATTGTGAGAAATAATAACCAAAGTATTTTTGAAGGAAGTGTGCCCATGCACTCCCATGGCTCTGTTGCTGGAGCATATCCATATTCAGGAAGGACTGTGAAGTTCTCAGAGAAGACTGAATGTGCTGTCAGGATTTGTTTTCTTTTTGTTAAAACAAGCGGAAAAAATGTTTTAACCTCTTTTAAGATAAAGTGTAGGAAAAATGGCATCATGAATAAAACCCAGTTGACCATAGCAGTATCTGTAACCACAAGCCCCTCCTTTTCTTTCTGCTTCGTTATGTATCTTTGGCTTGCTCAAAACTTAATTTCTTCCTGGGCATCCTAATTCCTTTAGTCATCTCAGAAAGTCCCAGTGAGGTACTGGATATCCAGAATACCACAGGCAGGAACAGGAAAAGGAAATTAGACCAGGGCCCATTTGTGGTCCTGCTTGTCCCTGGAGGAACTTCTGGGCTTTTTTGCAGGCTCATTGGGTTCCTTTCAGAAGTGGTAGGCATTGTCAGGGCTGCTTGCCTTTTGGTATCCTCTTTTCATACCGATTAATTTATTTTCTCAAAGTCCCTAGTTTTGTCATTATTTCTTTTATTATCAGATTAGCTTGAAAATTTGGCTCTATAGTTCCATTCCATTATAACAAGGGTATTTGAGAAATTTGCCCACTCCCATCCTTACTTCCAGATTTGGCTACAGAGGAAACCACACTTGTATTTACAACCTTGCTGTACATAATGGGGAATCTTTCCTGGTTTGAATAGACAGAATATACAGGTTCTACCAGTATATTCTCAATGAGGCATGAATTAAAGTTTAGAAATACAGCCCTTCAACCCTTCTGCTTCAGTTTTGCCACCTGTAAGTTAGAATTAATATTTTCCATCTTCAAAAGACTGTTCTGAGAAATGTCAGTGATGTGTATACAATAATTATGGAATATTCCCTGAGATTAGAATTCCTTGGTATTTTGTTTTTTGTTATGGAGATGGCTAATGTTAGTTGTATTTTGTAGACCAAATAAGCAGAGTTTGCTTTCACAGGTGTGTGACTCCTATCCTACAGAAATGTACGTACCAAAGTCTGCGACTGCACACATCATAGTGGGGAGCTCTAAATTTCGGAGCCGAAGGCGTTTCCCAGCTCTTTCCTACTACTGCAAGGATAACAATGTAAGTGTGAGTTTGTAGCTTTGAAGTGTTTGCTTGTTTTGGCCATGCTTTCATAATTCTTGTATTAAGCTTTTACAAGAAGAAATCAGTGTTTATATAAAAAAAAAAGATGATTAGTGTAGTCTGCTTAGTGTGGTTTGTACATATGGGCACACACTGGAAGTATGTTTAGTCCATAAATAGGCATTTAATGCAGTCATTTGAACCCAGCTTCATCATCCAGCTAAAAAAAAATGTGACCCCTCTATCACAAGGAAGTGGAGTAGTACAAGAGGTCCTGAAGCACGGGTGGCAAAAGAGTGAAGGTCAGTGACAGGCAGCTTGGCAGGTGATTGTGAGGAGAACAGAGCAATTTAGGATCTGACAGCCACAGCCTGAGAGCAAGTGAAAGAGGAGGAAAACCACTTGAAGCAATTAGAAAATCAGGAGTAGCCTCTCAAGAAAAGATCTGTGAATAGATCCAAAAAGGATGGATGAAAGAGCTACCAAATTTTGGCGTGAGGAGCATGTCGTGGCTTTGTTGAAGAGACAGTCTTTGTCCATAAGAGTGAGGAGTGCCACTTTCTCCTCTCTGTGAAAGATATTCTCAAGGCTGAGTGAGGAATGGCCTCAATCGTCTATAATCATTTGGAAAAAAAACTTGTTCCTAGACTATTTGCATTTCTGTTTCTGGCAGCTGAGGTAAAGGACACCCCCTTGGACTGAAGGATCCCATGGACGGAATGTTTTTACATTTGCATCCCAGCCCTCTAGGGACTGGCTTATCTCAGCTGTCATTACCATTTAGGAGGATGGTGTCCCCTTTGTATTCACAAAGGGTCTGTGTGTCTAATATCTCTTTCTGTTTCAGTCCCAGACTGGCAACTGCATGGAGGGGTCGTCCCTAGTGCTGGGAGATGGCCAGGTCCTCCCAAGAGACAGAGCGAGTGTGGGATTACAGGGTGTCTGCAGAGTTTCCACACAGGATGGGAGATTTTTCCATAGGATGTCACAAGCAGGAATCATAAGCTCCAGCCTCTTATCTTTACAGTGGTCCCTGTCATAGGTTTAAACTTCAGAAGGAAGGAATGAGACATTATTTTGACTCCTTTTTTACCCCTTACTTCATCAGAATTCTGCTTCCACAAACATCTATGAATTTGACAACAAAACAGGAGGACAGGAAGATTTAAATAGTAAATGCAGTCTCTGCATTAATTCCATATTATCTTTAATGTTTCATTAGAGCCAAAATTTTCAAGGTAAGTCACTTTGCATAGTCAAGTAAGTCCAAATATAGATATCTAGGATTCAAAACACTTGGACATTTCCAAATCTCAGTGAAAAAAAAGGTCTCAGGGATCAGCTAGATTCCAATATATCGTGATCCAGTTCGGATGAGTTTCATAGAATCATAGAATGGTTTAGGTTGGAAAGGACCTTAAAGATCATCGAGTTCCAACCTCCCTGCCATGGACAGGGACACCTCCCACCAGACCAGGTAGCCCAAGGCCATGTCCAGCATGGCCTTGAACACCTCCAGGGATGGGGCCTCCACAACCTCTCTGGGCAACCTGTGCCAGTGCCTCACCACCCTCAAAGTGAAAAATGGTTTCAGCCTGAATGTTTTCCCTGTTGTGGGTGGAGTTAGGTTAACGTTCAGACCACCAGGATCTTCTAAAGTATCGTGTTTAATCCAGGATCCTTCATGGTTCAAAGGGCTAGGAAAAGGGTTGGGAATGTTGGAGGAAATACCTCTGTGAGTTTGGGGGTTGGCATGAGCTGCCAGCTAATAGAATAATGGACAGGGGTGGGGTAAGATTCCTGATGGTGGATATTGAACAGCTGTGGTAACAGCAGGTTGGGAAGAGGTCTGCTGCATGCGAGGGAGATGGGTGCCACTCTTTCAGTCTTTCATACACAGAACTTTCCCATAGCTCTTTGGTACTGGCAAATTCAATGATGATGTGACACCTTATTCTGCGTCTTACAGGATATCTGTGAATATGGTAAGATCAAACTCTGGAACTGGCTGTTGACCCTGTGCAATAGCAAAACATGACCTCATCTCTTGCCTCACTCTCAAACATAGCCCAAGAAAATTTATAGACATATATGCTTATCCTAAGCAATTGGCCTGGCTCAGCAGGAGGTGATCTCTTCATGGATATCGTGGGTAATGATTCCCAGTTACGTTATCTAATGGTCACTAGGTCAGCTTATCTTCCTGTTTTGCAGTACTGGCAGTGCAGCTCTTTCTTAAGATGAGGCTAAACATAATCTTAACCCCAAGCCTAACCCGACAGACAAGCCATTCACTCGTATTGGGGCCAGCACATACTTCAGCCTCTTTGGGCTCCCAGGATGATATAACGTAATGGGCTCCAGCCTGTACTTTCCTGAATCCTAACCTTCATCCACAGCTCTAACTTCAACCTTAATCTTGAGGGCCATATGTGCCTTGTGTATGGTACACAACGGATAGGAGAGAAATGCCTTTCTTCTCTTAAAATGACATATTCATATGTACATTTTGCTTCATGCAAAGGAGGTATAAGCATATATTAAATCACTGGCATGTGTGCTGATCCGCAGGCGAGAGCCTAGAAAACTAATAATCTGTTTGCAGAAGCTATTAATGAAGTGTGAACAGGCACAATTCAGGGTTTCTGTATGAAAGAGCCACGTTTCACTGCCTAACTACTGACAGTTCAAAGACTTGGCTGAAAATGAGTGTGTCCCTTCTCACAGTAATAAATAATCTGTAGGGCAGTCTGCATGGGTCACGACCTTCAACAGGCAGATTCTCTTTCACGCTTACGTTCAGTGCGTAGAAAGTGCGTGTGTTAGCCCCTTGCCCTCTACAAATCTAGCTGCCCTCTGCCTAGCAGAAATAAAAACCTTCCTGCTCGCCCATTTCACGTTCTGTTCCCTCTTTCCCAGTTTCATCTGGAGGGCTGATCCTGATGGGTCTGGGGAGAAACTCTCTTGTCTTCTTCAATAGCACTGATTAATAACCGTGCTCCAGGAGTCAGCCTGCCTGACCCTCTTCCCATGCAGTAAGGTCTTTCTCCAGAGGCAGTGCTAAAAATACAGCACCATCAGCAATCCAGCTGCGTGTCATGCATTTTTGTTTCCTGGGCTCATGGTGTCTCAGGCTGTTCAGCAAAGCATGCATTGGTGTAAGCTGGGTGTAATCAGTATCCTAACTGGTAAGCGTGAATGACAGTGCTCTAAAACTTAGATTCAAGACTAGGCCTGGGCCAATGGGGTTGTATTGTTTTAACATTTCATTGCCTTTTAAAAATGAATTTGTTTATTAACATATTTGTTAACATTTAGGACAAGAGGAAACGGCCTCAAGTTACACCAGGGGAGATTTAGATTAAGTATTCGGAAACATTTCTTCACCAAAGGGTTATCAGACATTGGAACAGGCTGCCCAGGGAAGTGGTGGAATTGCCATCCTGGAGGTATTTAATAGACAAGTAGACCTGGTGCTGAGGGACATGGTTTAGTGGCAGACTTGGCAGTGTTAGGATAATGGTTGGACTCGATGATCTTAAAGGTCCCTTCCAACATAGGCGATTCTATGATTCTATGTAATTCATTTTACCATTCTGCCTTTCATGTGTAGCTTTGCACCTATGGAAACTTCTAATGAGCTGCTTTTGTGTATGCTTCTGGATGCTAAACAATTTCTGCTAAATAACTCTGTTGATTTTTTGTTCGTTTGTTTGTTTTTCTGCAGGCGTCCATCTGTAGAAGCAGCCAGCCTTTATCTGGATTTAGTGCTCGATGCCTTGAGGATGAACAGATGCTCCAGGCCATTAGAAAAGCAAATCCAGGAAGCGATTTCCTATACGTTGTTGACACTCGGCCCAAAGTAAGTACATTCAATTTCTTGCACATAGCAGGACTGAACCTGAGCTGAACACATTAGGGAAGATGCAGAGCCCAAATGACTGACCATAATGCTGATCTGAGTTTCACCTGTGTAACTCCACAGGTAAATCAGGATTTATCAGAGGAATCTTAACTCGGAACCTTGCCCTCGTTTTTATCTCTTAGAGGAATTTTTTCTTTATACGGAGCTTTTCTCTTTTCTGTTGTTAACAAAATGTCAAGATACAGTGAAGTAAATAACTTGGAATAGAACTGTTCCCACACGCAGAGGAGATATCAGTGACTATATTACTGATGGGGTTAGTGAGAAATAATTCCCATTATAAAACCGTATTTAAAGTTGTTGTAATGTTGCAAACCTCTGCCTGCTTATACTAAAATTTTCCATGCAAGATTTCTCCTGCAAGTGGGAAAATGTCAATGACCTCTGCATAAGACTAAGGAAAGACCATTTACTGAGGTTACAAGGAGACCTTTTTTGAATATCTCCAGCACTTTTGTATTTTTGAGAGAGAATCTGAAATACAGTAAATAGTGATCTCAGATGCCATATCTCTATAATTGACTGAAATATTTGGCCAAGATAAAAGCTTTGGAAAAAATTATGATGTGCAGAAACACAGAAACTCAGTAATGATCTAGAAGAGGTTGGAAGCTAAAAAACTTTCTGTCCAAATTAGGCATGCCAGCAAACAGCTCAAGGTGATAAGAACACGATCGCCTTCAGTGTTTGGAAGTGGGAGCAGAGATATATTCTTTCTTACGCTATCAGTAGCTTTGCTCTTGAAGTTACCAAAGCACCTGAAGAAATCAAAGAGGCAAATCTCCACAAAATCCCTAGCAGATCCAGGATGAGGTATAGTAGGGGAAGAGGGAAAATGAGAGCAAATGTTTGAGGAAAATGAACAAACAAGGAGGCTGTTTCAGCATTCTGGGATCAGGAGACAGAGCCTGAAAGGCCGAGGTGGCTAAAGCTGAGGAACATGAGGAATGGAGCGAGGAAGGGCAAACCTGGCAGAGTTGGAGCAGAAACGAGGGACCTGTCTGGCTGGTTGGCGACTGACCGAAGACCTGGGGGCTGGTGGGAAAGTGCTGAGCGCTCACAGCTGTAACGGGAGGCAGCAGCCAGAGAATCAGGGCCTCAACGTGTCACTTTGTGATTTGGTGACTACTTTGACCTTCAGTTCCCTCTTTTTTTATTGGGAAGACGAGGATGATACCACCTTACTTGTGGCCCTGAAGTAAGTGAGTCGTGATGAGCACTAGGAAAGGGTTGGTACGACTGAGTTCAGAGCAGCCTTTGGATAGGAAGTACAGACCCGGCTGCCTAAATAATGCATGTTTAACAGTTTTCTGTATGTGGTAATATTTATAGCTTAGCATTTCCTGCCTGATGATATTGGTACTCTTCCCTAATTAAGGAGGTTGCTCATTGATGGGATTTATTACTAATGACTTACTGACTTTGCTATTAAGGATGTTTTGCAAGGTAATAACAGGAAGGTCCCATCCTGTAAACCTTTCTGGTAAATGACTTTGGTGAGACACCTCCTGTGTGCAGTGAAAAAACCCTGTACATTAAGTGAAGAGAGCGAAATTGGCTCCCTTAGCCATGAACAACAGCATATTTTCAGCAAGGGTGGCATCTTCAGGAGCCAGTCAGCAGATGAAAACTTTTTGTTTTAACTGAATTTCTCTGAGGGGGAAAAAAAGAGTTTCGATGTAAAGAAATTTGTACACACAGATTCCTACTTCTCTCTCTCTCTGCTGGAAGAAAGGACTGATTTTCTGAAGCTCCTGTGATCCCAGGTGCCAAGCACAGCCTCGTTACAGCTGTTACAGTTAATTTGCAGCTCCTGATGCATGTATAAACCTAGAGCATGTAGGAAGTGATAGATATCAGCGCAAGCTGTTCCTGGCATTCCTCAGGGAACTTTTAACGAATGTGAAGGTAAGTCACTGAGTCTGGTGCAAGGTTTCCCATTGCTCCAGGAAGCTAAAAAGCTACCTGCCTCTTCTCTCACCAGAACTGGTTCCTTGCAAAGATGATGAATGTTGATGAGCTGGTGAATTCACCGTTCCCAAGAGCTCTTCATATGCTGTCCCTCATTGCACTTGATAATCTTCAAAACAAAAGCTTTGGCTGCAGAAGAAAGCTTTGTTTCCACTTCCTTTAAATATACAAGGATGGCCATATGCAGAGCATTACTTAGGTTGCTGTCTGTCTTCATTTTCTTCTTCCTCTACATGTTTACAGAAGAAGCTAATATAAACCTACTGCTTATGAGTAAAACAAATTAGTTCTATGACTCTTTATAATAAGACAGGACTCAATTATCCTCCACATTAAAGAAGGTGCCAGGAAATCTGACAAGTGAGGTCTATTCCCTTTAGAGGCTGTCTCCTCGTATTCACTGAGATGAAGCGAGGACAGGCACAATTTAGAGAGCTTTGCAACAACTACTTTAAGAGCAACAGATGGAATTTTGGTAGGTGATGTGGAAAACTTGTTAGTAAATATTGTGGCAGCTGCAAAGTTTGGCAACTGACAATATTTAAAATAAATGAGTGTCAGAAAGCCTTGCAAATTTAACCTTATATTTATTTGCTTTTAAAGAGGGCTATTTCAGACTGTCTTAATAAAGGATTTCTGTGATAAAATTGCTCTGTGGCAGAGACAGTTAATAGCATTTATTTTACTGAGGATTAGGTCAGTAGGGGCTAGATGTTTCTCATTTAGCGTTTCAGGGGTTGTGGTGGCTTAGACTCGTGTACAGATCCTTCTTCCTGGAGCTGTATGCTATTGCAGAGAGGGACTGCTTCAAGTTGTTTATATTAGAACACTGATGTCTACTTCAAAAGATAAAGATTAGGATTCAGCAGATAATTTTTATCTTTCTAGCAAGTCACACTGAGGACTCTGTCCTTAAAGGACATGCTGTTCACAGGCTCCATCTTTTTTTATTGTTCATTGATAGCCAAAGCATCAGTAGACTGCTGGTTTATGGACAAGAATTATTTTTTTTTGCCTGCACTTTTTCCTGAATTGCATACTACATGTTAAAATAAGTTTTAAACAAGACTCAAATAAAAGAAAAAATGCTATTTTTTTGGCCTAGGTTCCTATCTTAGAGTATGGTTCCTTCTGCTCTATCATGAAATTCATGCAATATCTCAATTCCTAATGGTAGTCCACAAATGTAACTATGTATTCCTATTGCCAAGTTCTGCTCATGGGAATGGATGTGCCAGAAAGTGTGAAGATGGGGAAAAAATCCCCTATGTTCACATATTAAATTGGACAGAAGAAAAGATTTGAAAGTGGTCTCACCTATTTGTTTTCTTAGCATATAAAATGAAATTGTAGTGGCATAAAAAGCTTTCAGTCTTTAGCTGTTTCCTTTGGAAGTTAAGAGGTCAAATTTGGCCCACGGAAACCCATTTTGCCATAAGACATAAAAAAGCTAGACTCGTTCATCTTAGTTGGAGGTAAGTTGGCAGCAGACAATCCATGCTACTCAATTGCATGCGTTCAGCTCCAAATTAAAATTGAATATTGGGAGTATGTGTGTTTGGGGTGGAAGAGACCAGGAAGAGGCACATTCTTGTATATCCCATGATACCATTACCCGAGTGGTGAAGTATATTATTGTGAGTTTCAGGAGCGATCACAGAAGCAGCAAATCAGTAGTACCACCTGCGATATTGGGAAATAAACTGGAAACGGAGTTGCCTGCACCACCTCTCGTCCCCTTGGCAATGTCTAAGAGATACTTAGTTTTGGTATTTCATGAGCATTGGCTCTCACTGCAATAAAGATGAGTCATTTTTTGTCCAACTGATGCCTAATAATCTCTCCAAAAGCCTTGTTAGTGCCCTCCAGTCTGGATGTGCGATATCCACTGTTATTTAATTCTTAAATCTATCCTGAGCAGAAGCTGTTAGTTGTGCTTGGAGGCACGGAGGTTCTGCCATGTGGGATGCTTTGTTACTCCTGGAGCCTTCATATTTCTTGGGAAGTTCAAAGGCTCCTCAGCTGTACAGCCTTCATTTCATAGGGAAACAGGGACTTGATGCAAAGGGACAGTTTGTTTCTATTGAACAGTGAGATTTTGCTATTGGGAATAATAATAATAAAAAAGATAGGGTATTAAAGTAAAAGTACTTAATTTGTTCCTATCAGCTCTAGTTTTCAGCTGAGATATCAAAATTTGGCATAAGAGGCTTGGCAGATAGTTTTCTTTTCCCCAAAAAATCTGAAAAGGGGGAACAATAAGCATTAAAAAAAACCCCTTAATTTTATGCTTGGGAAAACTGAACTAAAGAAGCATTTAGTGACTTTCCCATGCCAGGAAGTAGGTAACGGATTCAAAGACAAAACTCCAGTTTCCAGTAGAATGTTTTTGTTTTTGCTGAAGCACAGCAAAGTACTTGATAGCACTGCATTGCAGATGAAAATATTTGTGGTAATTTTGTCAATTCAAATCTTTTGTGGTCTTACACAACTACAGCCAAGATACTATAAACATAGGAAAACCTACTCAAACTCTCTCTTCATTATTCCAGGCTCCAAAGCAGGAAGCTGTATCAACTTTTGGATGATTTGAGCAGTAAAACACAGTGATTTAGGCAACATTACAGGGTACAGTGAGATGGCAGATAAGACACTGCCACCTCCTGGGTATATTCTGCTAGTAAACATAATGCTGATCAAAAATGCAATCAGAACAGCCTTTTGAGAGCAAACTAAAACCTTTGTGCTCTTGCAGAGAAGCCCTACGTAAGCTGTGGGGTTTTTTGTGTCTAACCTCACTAATGAAGTTAACACTCGAGGTGTGTGAACTGGAGGTCAGAGCCTCAGCAACCCAGTGCCCCGCAATAGGCTGTAAACTCATCCCCGATCCCCAACCCGTTGTGTTGACACTCTGATAAATGCTTCCTATTTGTGCCTGGCTTAAATCACTCGGATTTATTGCAGTAGACCACGAGCTTTGTTTTGAAAAGAATCGGTTTGCTACTGGTTTTCATCCAATTTTCCCTAATTTTTTTCAGCTCAATGCAATGGCAAACAGAGCAGCAGGGAAGGGATATGAAAATGAAGACAACTACTCCAACATCAAGTTTCAGTTCATAGGCATTGAGAACATCCACGTCATGAGAAATAGTCTGCAGAAAATGCTTGAAGGTAACACACTTCTTTATTGAAAACTAGAGGAAAGATTTGATCCTTAAGTCACAGAAATCAGAGTAACTGCTCTGAACCGCCCCATCCCTGGAGGTGTTCAAGGACAGGTTGGATGGGGCTTGGAGCAACCTGGTCTGGTGGGAGGTGTCCCTGCCCATGGCAGGGGACTTGGAACTAGGTGATCTTGAAGGTCCCTTCCAACCCAAACCATTCTACGGTTCTGTGAAACCAGTGGCAGTGAAAGCGGGTATGCCAAGAGAGCTTTGCCTAGTGTGCTTGTGTAATGGAGCATCATCGCAACTTGTGAGGATTTCCTCTGTGCAAACACCTTGTTTCATGGGTGAAATCCAGGTATCATTTATTTTAATGGCAAAATTCTTTTGATTTCAATCCACCTTACTTCTGCTACGTCTTATTTTGCGGTTTAGAGTTTGATGGTATAACAAGAAAAATCACTTATAGCTGACTGATGTGAGTGAAAAATACAGTAAATCTTTTTTTTTAATCTCAGAAAACCCATGGTTTGATTTCTTTTATGTGGTCAATAAGGTAGCCATGCATTTTAGACTGTGAATTTTAATAGAAACTAACTCATACCCATTTTAGAGGATGTCACATCAGGTTTATTTATGAAACTCACAGTCCAGGGCTGTAACCATTGAGCACCTTCATAGTCCCATGGAAATTAATAATAATTGCTTTATAAATACTTATCAGTGCATAAATGAGCACATCTGTACTGCCATTTAATATTTTGAGTGCCTTACTGCTTAGAGGCCTTCTGGGAAAAGGGTAAGAATAAATAAGCCATCGTTGACCCTCAACAGCATGTTGATTTTTAACAAGCAAACAGTAAATAGTGCTCATTCCACTCCACAGAGTCTCAGTATTCCCTTCGTGTGCATCATCAACACCTTCTGTCACCTCCTGGATCAGCTTGATGTAGCTGTCCTTGACTTGACGCTCTGCCCGTGCTCTTTCATTCCTCATCTGTCTCCCATCGTCTATATGCAAATGTGAATTTTAGATCTAAGAAGGGCTTATGTTTTCCATGACAGAGCTGTGCTCTCTTTTCAAATAAGAGCAGTTCATGCAAACCAGCAGTAAAGTGTAATGCAGGTAGAACATTCACTTTCTTCATGGCTTGTTTTGACCCTTAATTCCTTGGTGTAAGGGTCTCGGGAAGGAAAATAGAAGGATGTTTGGTTCACTCCAAAGTCTTGTTTGGCAAGGAGAGAGGCCGGGTGAATAAACCTGTCCCTTTATTTGTTCAGCTTAGGACCATCAAAGTCAAAACAGTAAACAGCCAGCCCGGCTGCATGGGACAGTGCTGTGTGTTATTTTTGAGACAAAAGTCCGTGAGGCAGGCCCCTGGCCCAAACTGACATGTAACAAGGTAATTTCTAATGCACTGAACAGTCCAGGGCATCACTTCTTAGCATCTATTTTTAAATGAGCCATATGCTCGAAACACCTGTTTTTTTCATTGGTTTTATATTTGCTACGTTGAAATCTCATATTCAGCAACCTGGCTGATAAGATTAGAAATTAGAGAAGTTAAATCTGTGATTTCAAGCTCTTGAGATTTTCAAGTGCTTTTTTCTTTTTTTTCTTTTTTTTTTTTTTTTTCCCCAAATCTTAAAACTTTCAGTGTACAAGCAGGGCTTTTCTCATGGAAGGGGCTGCATAGTTTTTCTCTTTTTCCATTCATAGCAGTGTCCCTTCCTCTGCTTCCCTTGTGGCCTTCAAAAAGGGTATTTATTACCCGACTTGCACATACAAAGGGAACTGGATCCAAAAGGCTGTTAAGGGTGATGATAACATATGTTTAATATGGCTTTAAATTTTTATCAAGGAGTACTTAAACGCACCTAGATTAATCTCTAAGGTAAAACATCACATTACACTACAAGCATTACAAAATATGTCTGCTGCTTGTGATGTGTTGTGAGATGTTATAAGGTGCAGAAAAACCTTTGAAAAGAGGAATGGGGACGGTGAAACCCGGGTTTAGTTTAATGTGCGCTGTATTGTGGCTTGGAAGTGTAGAGCACGGAAAAGCGGACATCGAGACATAACGGGTCTGATGTGTTGCAGGAGTGCAAGGGCAATTTTATCCAACTTACTGGAATGATGCAGAAGTGAAAGTTGGAGGATCTTTTCCTGAGACTGCAGACTATTTTCAATATGCAATTTTAAATAATTTCCCATGCTGAGGAAATTTGAATGAAAATTTATTATTCAGCTTTCCATTGGCAAATGCATTTATATTAGGAATGTTCATTTCCATGTTTCTTTAGGAAAAAGCCAAACACGTTAATTTATACTTATAATAATGTCAATAATTTATTTGAGGAGGTAGCAAAAATTTGGTTTCAGCTTTGTGATTTTACTGACTGTAATTCTAGCAATTTTATTTATCTTAACTTTAACATGTATTTACTCTTTTATAATGTTATTTTGGCAAAATATATCAGCATTATAAAATGATTAAATCTGTAGGACAAGGAGAATTTTTTCAGAATAGGCCTTTTCCCAGTAAAGACTGAAGGGTTGACCGGGGCTGCTGTTTGGCAGTTGTGATGGGATGAGCTTGGCCGTCCGTCCAGGGCCCAACCAAGGCTTGACCCCGGTTTGTTGTGCATGGAGATGATGACCCTACATGCTCCCTCTCTGTATTTAAACAGCAAATATGAGCTTCTCCTCCCCTCATACCAGGAGCAGTGGTTGCTGATGTAAGAGCAGCCCTCTGATCCTTGGACTTCAGTGACAGATCAGCCAGAAAGAGAGCCTGAGGATTTGGCCCATGGCATTTACTCCTTCCTCTACCCATGGCCACCCTGCCAGAAATAGGGGAACTGGTCCAGCATCCCAATCTGGTACCTGTGCTCCTGGAAGATGCAGGTTCCACCACGTGTCCTGGTTCTTCCTCCATTCCCGGGGACGGGAGCACCGCTGGATTGCTACAAGAACCGCCCAGGGGCTTTTGATTTTCCTGTGCCCACATAGCAGGTCTTGTTTCTCCAAGATTTTTGGTACCTTTTCTGCTGAGATGGAAATGCCTTTTCCCCTTAGGATAAGCCTCATAATTTAATTCATAATCGAACTCGGTATTAAGGTCCAGATCGGTGGCCAAAAATCATGTGAAATACACAGTGTATGCCTTTAGGACAGTCTGAACTTTGCTCAGTGAAGTGGTCAGTAAATATTGACTCTAATTTGGTAGTGGGAATGAGCAAAGCACTATTTCAGCCTTACCTTGGGCTTTTGTAAACAGAGACAGCAGCTTCAGCCAGAATTCAGCTACTAATTGGTCATGCTTCCATCTGCACAGGGGCATTAATCATGTGAAAAGCTGTTTGCTTTCACTGCTGCTATCTATGCATTTTTATAAATATCCTTCAAAAATGAGTTTTAAAATAACCATCTGGAAGAGGCCCTACGTACAAAGATTGCAAGACTTTGTATGGACACATCAGGCTATTTTGCCTCTGAATTAAATGGATTTAAGACAGTCAGATACGTTCAGATGTGGTATAAACTCTGACTTTGGCTTTTAAAATTAAATTCCCACTACACTGAAGGAGACTAAAATTATGCCACTGGCCATAATTAACAGACTCTTTTAGATTTCCAGAGGACAAGAGACACCTACTAAGGCACTATTAATTCACAGAACATACATTAACTCAGTAAAAACCATGACATTTTTCACTGTATTCCTTGAAGGAGTTTCACCAGTTAGTATCTTGTAGAATTATACTGTATTTTAAGGAACATGGATCAAAATAAATGCATGAATTATAGGATGAATAGTTGAAAAAGATTGCACCAAATATTGTTGAGTATTTGTTTCCTTGCTGGACTGAGGTATCTGAATTAGATTCTGATTGTTCTTTTTTTCTTCTGATGTCACAAACTCTGTAATATTAAAAAAATAGACAATTGGCTGCAGCAGGATAGAAACTTAATGTTGTAAAAAGTGGGCGGTTGTTTTTTTTTTTTTCTTTAAATATGGCATAGAGCTTGGGAAGTTTTCAGGAGAACATTTTCTTTGATGAATTATGAATTTTCCTCTCCATCAGAACACTTTCTGGCTACCAGTGAAGTTTTGCTAAAGTTTTGTTCAGGGATGGAGAACTGTTGAGTGAATTGCTTTAACTCAAAGGCCATGGTCTGTGGTGATGCTGAAGGCTTGGTTTGGTGGGCAGCCCAGCAAGCGTGGCTGGGAATAGGAGGCTGTGGCACCATTAAGGTGGCTGTCTGCCCATCCAACAGCAGAAATCATATGCTTTCTGTTTCCAAGCCTTTATTAAAATACATATATACCTGTATAAACACATGGATAATATAAATATGTATAATGTGAAACAGATCCCACGTCCAGCCGGAGCGGAGCATAAACAGGTCACGCTGCAACCACCGTATTGCATGGGATGGGATGAGATTAAGACTTTCCAAACACGAGGAATAACACTCAACATAATTCAAGAATTTTGTAGCAGAACTGAAAAAAGAACAAGGTTCCCCAGGTCCCAGATAATAATACGTGAGCCTCTCTTAGGGGTTTGAAAACTTCACTCCCAACACAATTTTGGAAAATCTGTGCTGCACAGAAGGATAAACTGTTTGTACCAGGCTTTGCAACAGCTTCTCTTTTTAACTTAAACCAACATATTGGGTGAAATTTGACCCAGCCCCGTTTCTTAAATATACGCTTTTTTCAATGGTAAAGTTTGACTTTGAAGTAGCCGTTCTTTTCAAAAGATGAGTGTGTTACAGAGGGGACATCTGAAGAGATAACTCTTTGGTTAAACAGTCAGTGAAAGATTAAGGGATCAAATTTCTGTAAATTTAAGATGTAGTTTATTTTGCAGTTTGTGAGCTGAAATCACCTTCAATGAGTGACTTCCTGTGGGGCCTAGAAAACTCTGGCTGGCTGAAGCACATCAAAGCCATTATGGATGCCGGCATTTTTATTGCAAAGGTAAAGTGTGCAAAATGAGAACAAGACTTGGACTAACCAGATGCAGAAAGTGAGGACCAAATTCTCTGCTTGTGGGTAACTTCTGTTATCTTCAGTGATGTATCTGGGGGAAAAAAACCCATCTTGCAATGCTTCACGTATGAGGAGAGATGATTCTTAGGTGCTGTCATGTGGACGTTTTGCTAATATGGTAAAAAAAAAAAAAGTTTGTGTTCTTTTCACTGAAGGATTCAGATGTACTAAATCCTCTACTACCCTGTATCGTGTTACGCCAGGTATTGGAAGGTCCTTACTTTACTCCCCAGCAGTGATTGTCACTGTTTCTTTCCCTGTTTCCCCTGCCTCCTCCACTGGTTTCCGGACATGTTCTCTGGTGAAGGTTTCTGTTTGAGGACTACTTCTTTGTACAGTAGTTGTAATATAGGAATATTACGTACTGTGTTATCCTCTTTGAGTTATTTAGTGACCAACAAATTCACCTCCTAAAACCAACTCCTGTGTATTACCAGGGCCAAACTCTCTGGCAGCTTCTGCTCTTACATCCTGCAGAACTGATTCAGAAAACAGTCGTTGGCCTTGATAAGAAATTATTTCTCCTAATCCCACCCAAAGTAGGGTAGATATTTGTCACCTACCGACAGAAGTTTTAATTTGATTACCCCCTTCCTTGTGCTCTGCCTTTTAATGTTTCAGTTGTTATTTTTGAGATTACTATTACAATTTCTTATGGGCCATTTTATTCACATGACCTGCCACATGCAGCTGTATGGATAAAACTTCACGGGTTTCCCTCCTCAGTAGCTGCTTATTTCTCTTGCTTTGCTGCTTCCTTCTCAGCAGGCAACTGTAGTTTCTTGCAGCTGGGGGTAAATGCACATGGTATTATTTCTCCCAGCCCTACTAGCTCTCATTAGCTTGTAAAAATCAGGTCATTTACATTAACTCTTGCCAACTTTTCCCCAGTGGCTAGTCTTAAAATACTGTCCAAAAAAAATGTATCCTTTGTCCTTATGTTTGCTAGCCTCCTGCCTCCTCAGACAGGCATTTTGACCCGTTCTTATTTGTACTGTTCCCAGTTCTGTTGTTGGTCTCCTGCCCCACAGGGGTTCTATTTTGGTAGAATTTACTTGTCTCTTGAGATAAACAGAGATAATTTATTATTATTCCTCATTCCCTATTAAGCCCAAACTTAACTTAAATGTTTGTTTTTCTAAGCAGTATCTTTCCTAACCTATTTTATTTCTCTACTTTCTAAATTTAGTTCTCTTTAGAAATGATGAAGTACAAACCCCTTAGAATTTAAAAAAAACCCACCAAAAACAACAACAAAAAAAAAACCACAAAAAAACCCCAACCCAAAAAATCTCAAGTTCCAAAAAGAATGCAACACCAAACTTTGGAGAACTTGGTACGATCTCTTCTTTATGTGTTTATGTATAAAACGGGATCCTCTCTCCCCAGTTATTTACATTAAAGACACTGATACAATCTTGCTTATTAGATATGGAAGTTTACCACTACCACAGGCTTCCCCGCAAACCTTTAGGGGTTTGCTGGCAGTGTGCTGGAGTAACACCCACACTAGCACTGGCACGGGAAGCAGACATTGCCGTTGTTGACACCACCATCGAGATGAGAAACGAAGAGCCGTGTTGCGAGTATGGCTGTTCTGTTGCTGGTATGTGAGTAAGAGCATTAAATGCATCTGAATCTGCTTGAGGCAGTCGTCCCGCTCTGACAGATTGATGTATTTTAATTGAAACAGATCCCACGTCCACCCGGAGCGGAGCATAAACAGGTCACGCTGCAACCACCGTATTGCATGGGATGGGATGAGATTAAGACTTTCCAAACACGAGGAATAACACTCAACATAATTCAAGAATTTTGTAGCAGAACTGAAAAAAGAACAAGGTTCCCCAGGTCCCAGATTAATACTCTCCGTATTGCGCTGTCTCGCTGTTCCTCTCTTAGCATCGCCTTTCTCCCTGCTTGTGCAATTTCTGACTTTTTCTGTGTCGCCAGGCTGTGGCTGAGGAAGGTGTGAGCGTGCTTGTTCACTGCTCTGACGGCTGGGACAGGACAGCCCAGGTTTGCTCTGTGGCGAGTCTTCTGTTGGATCCGTATTACAGAACTATGAAGGGATTCATGGTAAGCAGGTTCTCTTTCACAGAGTAAATAAAGTATTATGGCATCATTTAAGATTAATATCTTTGGTCTTAATGGAAAATAAACTTTCCTTATATATACCTTTTCGTTTTCTTTCTTTTTTTTGTTTAAGTAGGAAGAGAAGTTTGTATCTGTCCAAATTCTGTCTCCTGGTTTCTGTATGACATGTTATAAAAGGTGGGGATCAGCTGGGCACCCGTTTATTTTTTTTTCCTAACCTTGACCAAGAAACTTTCTTGCAGCCCAAGCAGCTTTCCTGCAAGGAAGAGTTTGTATTCATTTTCAGGGATCAGTGGAGTTTTGAGTGTCAGAAGTGTGTGCTTCCTAGACGTTAGATTTCAATGAGTGGCTATGTTGGAAAATCTGTTCCTTTCCCAAGCAAATCAGCACTGGGAAAGCAGTTGGGAATGCTTATCGAGTTACTGGTCACACATGAAAAAAGATGTTTGAGACGTTTTTAGGTTATATTTTAGAAAATGATGAATCAAGCTAATTGAAGCTGTGCTGAAATATTGGCATTCCATCTGCATCTATGAAGAGTGCTACTTGTTTTTGAGCTGGCAGCAGTGCTCATCGCTCATTATTTTTCTGCTTATTCTAAAAATTATCTGGGATTCTAATACTACTCGCTTACATCATTCTTGCTTGTCACTTTTCTGCTTATTCTAATAATTAACTGGGATTCCAGTACTGCTTGTTTACACCGCTCTGCTGCCTCCTTCAACATGGGTCAGCTCTGCTCCACAACACTGAATGCAATATTCTCATTTTAGGTGTTAATTGAAAAAGACTGGGTTTCCTTTGGTCACAAATTTAACCACAGGTAAGGCGGTGCTAAGGTTTTTCTATATATGTTTTTATGTAGTCAGCATCCACTGCCATTCCAATTTTATTTCCTTGTTGCCTTACAAAGCGTATCAACACAATGCCCTCAGGAAACCGCCATACCCTTTTCTCCTGCTATGTAATTTAGCTGCCTGGAAAAATCCAAGTGAAATATTTCCTTTTCTTATCTATGCACTCCAAGACTGCTGTTGGGAATCCCGAGTGCTGGTCTTGCAGTTGCTACGAGCACTGCCAGATCCATGGGGGAGAAAAGTGGTATGGATGTGGCTTGCGAAATGCCTTTGGACTCCAGCGGATCTTTCAGTAGTGCCAGGGTTCCCCACCTAAGGCCCTCTTCAGCAAAGCCTGCGTCTTCCAGGACAGTACTTAATCTTAGGCATGTTTGAGAGTTATCTGTTACGTAAAATAAACTCTTTCTATTATACTCTGTTCTAATGAAAACAGTCGGATCCATTCAGAAGAGTCAGGTAAAGCGAAGGACAAGTTATTTTGTACACCCATTATGTAAATGCTATAATGTAGTGAAAAAGTTTGAAGGTTTTATATACTTAAACATGGATAAATATCCACATTTTCTTTCTTTCTTGTATTTCCTTTTGCTTTCTGTAAAAATAATAAATGCACTTTTTATAGTGGAGGTTAATTACCTTATATGACTTGATTTGAATATAAATAAATTCTAGTTTCAAAAACCACAGCAAAACAT